AAAAAAATAATAATAATAATCCTTGCATTTGATACAGCGCGAGGATTATTATTCCCTCACACCTTCGAGACGTCTCAAAGCGCTTCACAATATATATTGTAAAGTGAATTCACTGTATATTTTTTGGGCAAAACACGGCAGCCAATTGCACACAGCAGCATCCCACGAAAAGACGTGGACTGAGTGACCAAATTCTTATTCGTCTTTATTTTTTTCAAGGGATTATTACCCCTGGAAAAGCAATCTGCCGATCGACTAACAACCGGGTTCCTACTTACTGCTAGGTAAACAGGCATGTGGAGTAAGGAAACTTGCCCAACGTTTCGCCCTGCCCGGGAATCAAACCTAGGTCCTCTCGCTTGCGAGGCGAGTGCTCTAACCACTGAGCTACAGGACTATCTTTGGAAGTCCACTTGCCTTTAAAAAAACGTGAACAATTTTGGCATTCTTTTTAAAAAAAGTTACAATTTTAAGTGCAAGAGGAATTTTCAAACCTCAATTGTTTTTCCGCAGCAAAAAGAAACGGTGGTGGTTTTTAAGTGATTGAAAAGAGTTTTTGTACTGATGTTCATTTTTTTTAAAATGTTTCCCTCTGTCACTTTCGTAGATGCAAAAATGTTACGAGCTGCAACGAGATGGGTTGCTCCTAAATTCTTTAATACAGAGAAAGAGCAATTGCTAACCAACATTGAACAGAAACCCATGTATTTTCAATGAAAGCACCTTATATTCTGACGAGCTGTATGCTTGTGGGCTTTTTAAAGTATTTGCACAGCTTTCCTTAGTCAGCATTCTTTCTGCACCTGTGGTGGCTGTATAGCCCCAAGGGATGGGCAGTATTTTTTATGGAGCTGAACAGCCCTGGTTTCAATTCTAATTGCAGAGGATTAGGTCTGTGAGGATTTGTTTTTCTTGTACAGCCTGAGGATCTCATCCCCTGCAGTTTGGTTTCCGATCATTTCATGTGAAGCCCACGTTTCCCTCGATCCAGCTTTCTGATAAAAAGCTACGCTGTCTTAGTATCTTTGGGATCCCACGGTTTAGGTAATTTCCACTCGTTTCTGGGATGGGTCGAGGATTTCATTAAAAACTGGACGTTTTTACACTGAGCCCAGATGAGTCTGAGCGGTACCGAGTTGTATTTGACGATCGCAACACTTGCTTTTGTTCGGAAAAGGATGCAGGTTCCCTGCTCCCACAGACACACACACTTGCTGCATATCTGAACGTCTATTTTCGGAGTATAGATTCCGGCCGAAAGTTTACCCAAGGTTTACCCCTCTTTAATTTTCTCTGTGTTCCCCATCTTTCTCCCCTTGCTTCTCCCCTGCTCAGCCTCTGACCGCGTCATTGCAAAGCGCTGTGAGGCGCTCTCCTATGTGATGCTTACTCAGTGCCAAAACACAAGAGCATTGCCTGGCAGTTGATCTGCTTCATGGAACAGAATGTGGCTGCGTGCATCTCGGAATTTCCAGAGGCAATTAATCGATCTTAAAATACCGTGCTGGTGTATCAAGCGAGTAGATGTTAGAGCTGTGATGCAGATAGTGCAGCCTTGATGCCTGTAGATTGCCAGTGCCTTAGAGTTTTCTCCTGGTAAATAGTACATACATTTCCACCACAAGCCAATAGAATGGGAAAGGATCCAAAAGTATGTCCTCCGGGCTAATTATTTAATGTTAAAGAACATTTCTGCACTGACATGATGATATCTCCTGTAATGATACTGGCAGGGAAATCAAAATCACTGCCATCTGCTCTGCATTGGGAGAATGCATTATTAGGGAATATTAATCAAATTCCCTTCGATTCATGTGGAGACTAAAATTACTCGTACAAATCTGCGAAGGGATTCCAGCAAGTCTGCAGGGTCATTTCTCAAGTTATGGAACCCTCCAGATATGTGAATGAACTGCTGTTAGGAAGACAGCAAGGGAAGGTTTTCGGGGAGGAATTTTTTTGGGGGAAGTACCTTGCTGTCGGGGCTAAGGAATGCTCGTTTAGTTCTCACACAGTAGGGTTTGCTGAGCAGGAGCCTTTTTCAAGTCATTAAGGAGATGTAAGTTTCATGAGGGAAAACTTTTCTGTTGGCACTGTTAAATGGTACGGAAAATCAATAGGGTTTAATTTTTTTTGAAAGCATCTGTTCATTCAAGCAGGAGACTTAAACTAGGTAATTGACGGTAAATTGGTTAACTTACATGACTCAACAGCTAGGAGACTAATTACATGGCTTTTAATGAAATGCCATGGGGGGGTGGGGGGGCAAGAGGGAGGGAGGAGAGAGAAGAACTCCTTTCCTAAACCTCCTCCCCCTCCAGCAACATCCTTCTTTAAGGCCCCAGTGATTTCCTGTAGATTTACTTCTCAAACGACAATTTGGCCTTGTGGAACACATTGACGAGATGACCTCATTACACAGCCCCCGTGGGCACACACCACTAGGGATGATGGTGATTCCCCAGTCGAGCTTCAGATCTGCCCGATTTCCTTCACAGCCTCAAACATAGCCTTTGGAGGTCTCAGAAGACATCATGCTTCATTCCTCATAGCATCAATGTTTTGATCAACCGACCATTCAATTTAACTCTTGTTGACCGGTCAGCGCAGTGGGCTTTGCTTTGCGTTTCATGTATAATCAGTAGTTGCCTATCAGAGTACAGTGAATACGGCTTCAGATCACAAGCTTGTCATTTTCTCTGGAATCCTTCAATAAACAGCCACATGTCTGAAGTGGTTAAGCGTTTGAGACACAACAGTGTTCCTTATTGTTTGAGTGGCAGCCATCTGGGTTTGAGGTCTTGTGAATATGTTAAATTCCACAGCCAGCTGGCTTTTGCTGTTGACATTCCTGATCACTGTTCAAAAAGTGCAAGTTGAGTACACTTGAGAGCCTACAATAATCCGCTTTTTACTTTGTAGGAAATGAGTTTTTAATTTCATCAGTATGTTTGGTACTGCCTAATCCATTCAGCCAATGAGGCTGGCACTTAAAATTGGTTATGGCCCATGAGCTACATAGATAATGAGTAACAATAATAAATACAGGATCCTCTCACTGGAAAATAACATTGTAAAACGAAATGCGAATCATTTGCAAGTGATATGAGTGTGTTTGCGATTGGAATAATTATGGGCAACAGGGACTTATGTAGGTTTAATGTATGAAACTGAATGAGGAGCAGGAAAGGCAAGAGGAGATTTTCCACACTGGGAATCAGTGGAAGTCAAATGTGGGTTTGTGGATGGACCTTGTTTAGACTGCATGCTTTCCAGTGATCTAAGTTTCAACTTCAGTTGTTTTTAGAAGGATTGGGCTCAACCAACTTGCTGGGTTGTAGACAGTATCGGAAACAGGACTGTCAGTGATTAGGTCCCTACCACAAAAATGTAAACATCAAATGAAAATGATTGCAGTTAATTAATAACAGTCGAGCCAGCAGATTTTTTTTAGCTCGTCAGGCAGGTACTCTAACCACCCGATTGCTGGATTTCATTTGCAAAATTCATATTTCGAAAGTGAGCTTGGATTTGACCTGGCTTGTACCATGCACCAAACACACCTTGGAGTTCTTGGTATTATTTTTTTTATTGGATTATATTTAGAATTCCAATGCCCCTTAAAATGCAAATATCAACGTTAAACTTTCTCAGATCGCGTTGAGCACCCGCAGTACTTTGGGGGTTCCCTGGCAATCAAGGTAACTTCACCAATTGTTAGGGTAGGGTATGGATCTATGGCACCAAGCACCTGGCCTAAGTAACGATGCTTCATCTTTATGGCTACACAATGAATGTTGATGAGTTTATTCTGGAGGACATCACTCTGTTGAGACCTCTGTTGATTTTGACATGCACTTTCTGACAGGGGTTACTTGATAGATATCAGGTAGGGTATCCCTGGCTTTCATTTCTCACCCAAGACCAATACTTCTTTCCTGGTTTAAGTCTGTACTGTTTGGGGGTGGTGACTTTAAAGCTTGAGCCACTCAGGCAGAGTGCGATTGAAACTTTCACGAGAGAATTAGGGCTTGGCCATTAAACCACTGACAGTAGATGTGACCATTGCACAATGTGATTGAGCGCACCAGTTGCTGGATAAATTACTAATGTGTGTCATTCATTGACGTTGATATACTGTAGTTAGATCAAAGGGCATTACTGCAAGGTGTAGGCGGGATGGGGGGGGAGAGACGGAGGTCGGGAGGTGGGACAAATTTAATTTTACCTATAATGTTGAGTTACTGTTCTTGCTGCTTATTGCTGTGAGATGGCTTTAAGCTAAGCCAAGAACTTCAATGGAGTGGGAGGCATAAATTTGTTCTTGGGCTGCTATTATCCACCTTTTTCATTGAGTGGTGTCAACTTGGCCTTGGACTTCACTTGTAATTAACATTTAAGGTTTGTTTAGCATTGGAGTGCCAGAAAGCACTGCCACAGAACTGTGTGCTGGAGGATTTTAATGGGCAAACACTCCATTTTCTGCATTCCTTCACACCAGTAATGGTCTTAACAAATGCTTTTCTTGTGTCAGCCAAACACAACTATGATTCTTAAATAAGTCTTGTAAACTACAAGAAGTTAAAGGGACGAATTACAGAAATTCCTTCTCCTGTCTGTCCAGATGAGAATATTTCAGGGCAATCAGTATGAGTGGGAAGTCAAGACTGTGCTGTAAAAATCACGGGCTTCAGAACATTGTAATTAAATTTTATTGTAAACAAATTGTGATCTCAACGAAAAACCTGTTGTATTCTTTATTATGCAACATTTCAAGCCATCGTCTGATTGATTTAATGTATTGATTTCAAGATGTACCTCTTTGACCATTCTTTCGGCTATCTTTCCCTTCCCACCCGCTGTGTCTCCTACCCCCAGCTCGGGTGCCCAGCCAAGCAATGCCAAGCTCTTTGAGATATCTGCCTGATGAGGAAGGCACTATATACCTCTGCCTCTGTCTAGATGCTCTGTCCTAATCCTTTGTCACTGTTCTTACTCAGGCTTTGGAAGAAGCTCAGAAGGCTATTCAGCAGCTCTTTGCCAAAATCAAGGATATTAAGGACAAGGCAGAGAAATCAGAACAGATGGTGAGTCTGACGCTTAAAGGGATTGTATAAGTTCTCAAAAATAGGCTATTCCCTTCTTTCCCATCTGAACTGTTGCACTGGAGACGAATAAACTTGGGCACGGCATGATCTGCATCAACACAAAGCCTTGATCCAATGATTTTGATGGAGTACATGTGCTAGAAAGTGGTGTGAGAGGAGAGTTCCCCTGTGTATTAAATGATTAGGATCGATTTACGGAACCTGGACTGTTTCCCTCCCTCTGCCCCTCATTTCATGCGTATTATTTGTTAAGCTGTGACAAATAATTGATAGGGACTTCAGAGCATCATCCAGATGTTCTGCAAGGGATCTGTGCTATTATGGCAGCTTTTAGCGAGGAGCTTGTAATTAATAATGACAATTATTTGTCCTCAGTTTACACTGGTAATCGATTAAACGACTTGCCAAGCCTCCTGCAGCACCTGCTCCAAACAGCCTGTGATTCTTGGAATGTGTCCATGGCACAATATATTTTATCTCGCAAATGGGATCCAATCGTCCAATTCGCAGCTTCGCGGCTCTCGACGCTACCCTGGACCTGCAGAGTTTGCAGCAGGAATACTTTGTGATTTTTGGAAGTTGCTTCCAGAAAATAAAGCAAACAAAAATCCTTAGGAATGAACAGCAATGAAATTTTCTTCCAGTTTTCTCCCCTTCGCTCCCCTTAAAAGACTGATTTATATGAAGACGCTGGCAAGCTCTCGCGACCTTGTCAAACGGCCATTTCTCCATGTGCGATCGAGCTTGTCGACCTGCTGTTTAACTGCAGAGAAGGCATTACAGCCAAGTCTACACTTGAGACCCAAATTCCACCTAGTAAGACCATCTTGTTGGTCAAATTCCGGTCTCAAATTGTTGGACCCAAACTCTGTTTGTAAAATGGTCTTGTCTCAAACTTTCAGATTACATTATTTTTGAATCGTTCAAAAATAATTAATTTGGAATTAGCCTGTAGAAGACTGGCTTCCGAATTAAGACTGAACGTAAGATTGTCCACAGTTTGAGAGACGTGGGGTTTGACCCTTTCAAACTCTGTTCTTCAGGTCAAGGAAATCACACGGGATATTAAACAGCTGGATCATGCGAAACGGCACCTTACAACCTCCATCACCACGCTGAATCACTTGCACATGCTTGCAGGTGGCGTAGACTCCTTGGAGTAAGTAGCCAACAGAACAACAGCAACTTGCTTTGATATAGCCCATGTCCTGTATAATAATAATCCTTGTATTTGACATAGCGCCTTATCACGTCATTGAGATATCTCTAAAGCGCTTCACAGAATAAAATCTCTGAATGCTTCACAGTGGAGAGAGGGGTTGGACAGAGAGCAAGGGAGAAGTGGCGAGGGGAAGATAAGATTAGGCACAGTCGAAGTGATGGGTTTTAAGGTGGAATTTAAAGAGCTGGAGGGATTGAGGTAGGGAGTTCCAGAGATGAGAAGCAAACAAGTGTTACATTGTGTGGTGCAGAAATGTTTTAAGAACTGTATACTGCACTACAGCACCAGTTCACATGGAAAAATTGAACTGACCAGCCACACTGGCCCCCTTTCCCAGTTTGGTTTGTCTTTTAATCATTGAAAGCAAATGACACGATTAGATAGTTATAAGCCATTTTGTTTTGGGGAAAAAAATCCAAATATTAATAACAACCATAATAATCATTGTTGCATTTGGTATAGAGAAGAGAATTTCTCCCAGTGTCCTGGCCAACAAATCCCCCCGCGCCCCCACCCCTCTCCGAATAAATTTGGTCACCCACTCCATGGCTGTTTGTGGGACGCTGCTGTGTACCAATTGGCTGCTGCTTTCGTCCACAAAATACACGGGTCAATTCATTCGACTGTACATCCTGTGATAGTTCTTTGAGACAGCTTGACGATGTGATAAAGCGCAATATCAAATGTGAGGATAATTCGATATCATGGATTATATCAAACAGCATCACCAATTTTCCCTCAAGTGCGTATTGGTAGACAGACGTGCCAGCCAATATGAGCGCAGCAATAATAATAATAATAATCCTTGCATTTGATATAGCGCTTTTCACGTTGGGAGGACATCCCAAAGCGCTTCACAGAACACACTGTAAAGTGAATTGACTGTATATTTGTGGGCAAACGCGGCAGCCAATTGCGCACAGCAATGTCCCACAAACAGTCGTAGATTGAAAATGACCAATTTATTATTGTTTTTGGTTTTGGAGGGATTATTATTAGGCTCTGTGTGGAGTAAGGAAACTTGCCCAAGGTTTCGCCCTTTGAATGTCCCTCAAAAAGCCATAAAGTGAATTGTATCTTGGGAATGTTGGTCAGGACACCGAGAGAAACTCCCTTCTCTCTGTTAGTGTGGGTCAGTAGAACATGGAAGTCAGGCCACCATGGTGCGTAGAGAACAGGAGAATTGTTAAAAGAACACAAACAGTTAAAACGTGACTGGGTGTAATGATATAAATGAATATTTATGATTCCGCTCTCGAGTTGATTCAGCGACAGAGTCCATGCTCATTAATGGATTTCTGTGGGATATGCCCCATTGTAGGCAATTGGTTTTAAACAGTACCAGGCTGTAACGAGAGCAGCTGCACGATAGAATCCCATTAATCTCCTCGTAGATTTCTGTTAATGCAGCGCAATTATGATGAGCCAAAAAAAGACAAGACAGTTGTCTTTCGTTTACATAACGTTGATGTATGGGCGTGTTCTAGCGTGGGGCCCCGCATCACTTCTATAAATCATATTCAACGTTTAATTACTTTAAAATATCATTGAAGTCTAATTTGATACAGATGGACAGCAATATAGTGCTCTGTCGGATGAACAGGTTTTGCTTCCAATTTATTGTACTCAGGCAAAAAAATAGCCGGGGAATGGTGAGTGGGTGTCTTTTTAATGTGTGTTTCAATACGACTGGCATTTTTGTAGGGCTATGACTCGCCGCAGACAGTATGGAGAAGTGGCTAACCTCATGCAGGGTGTGGTGAACGTGCTGGAACACTTTCAGAAGTATATGGGCATACCACAGATTCGTCAGCTGTCTGAAAGGTAAAACGCCAAAGAGTGTGTACCGCTGAGTGCTTGAGTGATGGCCTCTTCTTGTTACAGATAAAGTAGATCCAGTTTATTGAGGAAATCAGATTAATCTGGTTGCAAACACACTGGTATTGCTCCCCCTGTCTTTTCCGGCGCTTTGCCAACTTTTGGCACCAAAAGATAGGGTCATAACTTCTCAAAGCACTTCACACGTCATTGCTAAAATGTATCAAAACATTGACGGGCAATGATAATAATAATAATAATAATAATAATAATAATAATAATAGCAATGCAATGTGTAAGTGATGTTGATGGTGACCCAGAAGTTGGCTTTTTTGTTAGCATGGGAAGCTGGCACAGGGAATGCAGAAGCCGATTAGCGATCACGCCTGTTATAATGTCGATTGGCATTTTATAAACTCTAACTATCTTGTTATAACGCTGCCCCATTGTATTGTTTATTGCATAACAACAACAACTTGGATTTATATAGCGCCCTCCACGCCGGACGGTGTCTCAGAGTGCTTTAGAGTTCTGTTTGATGCAGTGGCTCATTATGGCACAGAAATGGCATCTGATTGTACTTTGAATAACCCCCAATATTCTGCAGTGGGTTTAAAATATTCGTCCTGTGTTTAGTGCCTCCAAGTCTCTGCAGAATGATTGCCTGGTCTCTGCTGATTTGTGCAGAGGAAGTGCTGATTGGAGTGAGGTACTTTCCTTGGGGAAAGGAGAGTCAACTCAGACAGCTCCAGCACAGCTCTTGGTGGCTGCTTACAAAGCAGCATTGGCAAATGCCTAAGAGTAGATTGCCTCTCGTGACGCAGAGACGGTCTAAAAAGAGAGAGGAAAGTTAAGCGAAAAAGATTCTTAAAGCCCACAGCGCTTTTATAAATTCGAGACTCATTCCTTTTAGTGATAAAATCGATGTTTCATACACACTTGATAGATCTTAGTCATGAAAAAGGACCTGAGATAATGCACGCCAGTCCTCTGAAATTCTTTCTATTTTTGTGGTATCAGTTCATGGCTTTCCTCCAGACTGTTTGTGTTCTGATATTTTTCCCCATCTGGTTTAGACACTGCAATCTGCGAGTTGGGATAACAGTAGCTCCTTAAAATGTCAAGCTTGCTGTGGTATAGATAAGGATTTTCAATCCTTTTAATGTTGCGGTAAGAAAACGATGAAGTCTATTTTAAGACATCAAGCGACCATTATTGTAGATGGAAACCAAACACGGAACAACTTGTGGGCTTCGTGCAATAGACCACAGTTTTTTTTTCCCCTCTCTTGGTCAGCTTTTTTCTTAATCTTCTTTAACTGAATTCCATTTCATGTCTCCGTTTAGGTCTCAATTAAACTGGTTTAATCACTTGTATTATGGTTGGGGTGAACTTCAAAGGACCTCATTAAGTAGAAATTCCCCATAACAAGTGAAGAGATGGATCCTTCGAGAGATAAAGCACTGGAATGTTTGCTTTGGCAGTCGCTGGTATATTGCACATGTCATTTGACTTGTGTGTGAAAACCACTCTTTAGTTATTAATTTTACTAGAGATATGTTAAGGAATGCTTTGAACTTCTTGACTGTAGTCTTTGTTTAAGCACCTGATTAAGCTTAACCCTCTTTAGGCGTGTGTTTGCGTTCGCCAAATAGATATCCCTTACCAGTGTAGTCTTGCGTGGAGATTGGGATCAGCAATTTCTGAACCTGATAATGGATTAGAAAATGGGTCCAGGGAATACCGTCTTGTAATCTGTATAAACTCAGGTTTGATCCTCGGTCCGACTGACATGGATTGTGCCCACGGCCAGCGCTTGGCCCAGTTGATGAGACTGTGTATTCCGTGCAGTTAATTCACAATAATCTGTCGGTGCTCCTCCTGATGCTTCTAAAAGGCTTCATGAGACCGGTTCAGAGAGTTTCACGTTCCTCTCAGTGGGCAAGAGCCCTCCTGCTTGTGACTTGTATACAAATGTCATTTGTTGTTGTTGTTGTTTGGCAGCATTGACCTTTGCCCCTTTGGAGTCTCTCTCTGCTCAGTTGTACTTTTGGACTATTTGGGGCTGTCTCACCGTCCATCAGAATTAACATGAGGTTTCACATATAGTAATGCAGCAAATACTTGACCCGAAGCATGATCAGTGAATAGCATCAATGAAAGAAACCAACCCAACTAGCCTCGCTGATCAGAGCAAAACTATTGCATAATTGAAGTTCGGCAAAATCAGTCTCTAGCCTAGAACATTACGGGGCAGCAGAGGCTGCTGTGAATTGCTATGGCACAAAGCAAACCTTTTGGATTTCTCTCCCCCCCCCCCCCCCCCCCCTCCCCACACCTCCTATCTCAGGATTGCTTTTACTCGCGAGTTTCAAAGCAGGTCACAGAATGGGTGTTAGGAATGTGAGGTTGGGGTTGAAATCTAAACCCATTTCTCATCTGTGGAGCTGGAGCATTTTTCAGTTCTGGATGGGCTGCCTGCTCACATTCCACGGTTCATGTAGTTTCACATAGTGTCCCCTTCTTTACGACCGGGGAGAGAAAAATGCCAGCCTTTTATGAAATATGGTTTATTAATGGGTAAAGTTGGCTACAACAGTGGAATGAACTTTATATTCCGCTGTTGCAAATCTGATGGATCAGAGGCTATCAACAAGAACAAAATGTGTTGGAACATCACTTTGCAGTACATACAAACTAAGCTTTATTTGGTGCTACTGCGTTACACGCCTAGATTTACCGCCATTGTACAGATTGAGAGAGAGAGAGAACGCAGTGCTTATTTTTCTTATTTTCCGTCAGTTTTCACAGCTGCGCTATAAAACGTCCCGAGCCCCCCCCACCAAAAAAATCCTGGTTTTGTTTTCTCAGGGTACGAGCTTCTCAGACTGAGCTGGGGCAGCAGATCCTGGCAGATTTTGAAGAGGCATTCCCATCCCAGGGAACAAAGGTGAGATTGTCCTCCTACACGTCAGTCACTTAGACACATCCTTTTGTTTTGTTGAATAAGCGACTCTATGTGGAACAATAACAACGCCACCTTGCATTTATATAGCGTCCCTCGCATAGGGTTTGGCCATTTGGCCTATGGTGTCCGTGCTGGCTCTTTAAAGAGTAATCCTTTCAGTCCTGTTTACCTGCCCTTTCCTCGCACCCCTGTAGTTTACTCGTATTTTTGTTTTCTCCTTGGTTGACGTTATCATGCAGTTTCTCTCTTTGTTTGTGTGTCAAGAGGGCAGTGGATCCGGACTCTGTGTCCAAGGCCAACCCTTTCCTTCCACGTGCTTGTTCTTTCTCTCTCGTGTGGGAAGAGCTAGCCGTCCTCGCTCCAACTCACCAGGAACTCCGCAGCCCATATTGTTTCTTGCACCAGGCTCTGCGAGCCCATCGTCTTTAAAATCCCTTCACAATGGTGCAGACCATTGACTTTAGTCTGCTGCTCATTCTTAATTCCTTCTATCCCACTATCGATGGCTGAGCTTTCAACATCTTTATTCCCTCCTCTAGCACTCCCCCAGATCCCTTCCCCTCGTTGCCTTCTCTCTGCCACCCAAACTTTTTTAATAAAAAGAAACAATCTGGCTCATCGTACTGTCATTCAACATCCGATAAACACTCGCTCCTTCGACTCCCGCTGAGTCGTATCCATTTGCAATTATAAAATTATTCAAATTCTTCATCCTGTGTAAAGACCTCTGTGTAAGCGCAAGTGGTCGAGATTGTAAAGTCACCACGTGGGCAGCTGCGGGTTTCAATCTCTGCAACCCAACCGATCCAAACGCTTCCTTCCGTGAAAGCCGTTATATAAATGCATATTGTATTGCATTTGAATCCACGGTATGTTACATCCCGGTTTCATCTTCCCAGAGAACAGCGGGTCCCAGTAACGTCCTGCGTGATGCTTGCCTCGTTGCCAATGTTCTCGATCCCAGAATCAAACAGGAAATCATCAAGAAGTTTACAAAGCAGCATCTTTCCGAGTACCTTGTCCTCTTTCAAGAAAACCAAGACGTAAGTTTAAAAACCCGAATAAACTCTTCGACTTTCGATGATTGTAACAAGCCCCACGAGGGCAATATTTATGTCTGTAATTGACACTTGTACGAAAGCTGTGGTATCTCACACGAGCACAATTTGTGACTTGCGAGCTGAATTCAAATGTGCACTTGAGCAATTTCTGCCTTTGGAAACTCAGTAATGCTCTTAATTGTTGTTCTGGGACTACAATGGTAACCAGGCTATTATGGTGTCAAGTTGTAATGACCATAGCAATTCAGAGAGGACCTTTCATACCCTTGTTAGCTTAGCAGCAGGAAAGGGTTTGTCCTGCAGCGTGAAGCTATCCTTGTTTCACTGTAAAATAATGTAAATCAATGTATTCGCATCAATTATTTGACACATTGTCAGATGCAAAGAGAAGCGAGTTTCTCTCTCCCGGTGTCCTAGCCAATGATTCCCCCCAACATTAAAATTGGTCACTCACTCCATGCCTGTTTGGGGGACATTATGGTGTGCAAATTGGCTGCCACTTTTGTCTACAAAATACACAGTCCCCACACTTTATAGTAAAATCCTGTATACTAAAATCTTGGCGACGTTTTGACGATGTGATAAGGTGCTGAGTGAAATGCAAGGATTATTATATATCATGGTCTGCTTATTCCTCCCATTTGTAAGTCACTCCTCGTACCATTCATTTGCACCTATTATTGTTCTGACAGGTTTCTAAGAAGAGACCTTTCTAAGTAGAAGTTCCAAAAAAATGAGAGGAGAATTTATTCAGGTGTCTAAATACTTTAAGGTGCTAATTAGGAAATAGTTTTGATATTTGCTCTTGGTACAGAGTATACTTCACTGAATATACCGTGAAGTGCAGTGACTGTATATTTTGTGGGTGAAACGTGGCAGCCAAGGACAGCTATAAAGGTCTGAAATGTTCTGCTGCAAAGCTTGTTTTAAAGAGTTCAGGAAAGAGAGTGTGTGTGGTGTTCTTACTCTCTTCCATTTCCCTGATTTGGTAAGGTGGCCTGGCTGGATAAGATCGATCGGAGGTACGCTTGGATAAAGAGGCAGCTGGTAGATTATGAAGAGAAGTACGGTCGAATGTTCCCAGTGGACTGGTGCATGAGTGAACGAATCACTGTGGAGTTTTGTCACATCACCAGGTAGAGACAAATAACGTGGCGTTTTCCGTTTCTGTTTTTCCTTTAACCTCTTGTCAAATCTGCATTATTTCCTTTTCCCTTTAAAACAAGCTTTGTGGCAGAACATTTCAGACCTTTATAGCTGTCCTTGGCTGCCGCGTTTCGCCCACAAGATATACAGTCACTGCACTTCAAGGTATAGTCAGTGAAGTGTTTTGAGATGTCTCGTCGCGATAAGACCCTACATCAAACGGAAGGACTATTATTAGAAAAGGCTTCATTAAATGCTCATTTCTTCTTTCCTTTGGCCCTCCCCACCTCCAGTTTCCTGTCCCCTCCTGAAGGCACTGGATTTTGCTGTGGGCACTCTGGTACCTTGCCCTAGTACCCGTTCATCACCTGTAAGCCTGGATAGTGAGGACTGGCATTAAAGTGTGGATTAGCGTCACGATTGAGCCCAAAAGCTGCTCTCAAACCAGTGTTTGAACACGTGAACTTTCTTGGATGGACAGAGAGAGATCATGATAGTGATCAGGACCCTGATTGTAACTTTTTTTTTCTTCTCTGTAATCCAAGGCCGACTGTAATAACCCATAATGTTGCCCGGTTAATATTGCTAAGTCAGTACACGTCAGATGTTGAACCTGGTGGAATATTTGACCGAGACATTTTAAAGCGCTCTGAGGCACCGTCTGGCATGAAGGGCGCTATATAAATGCAAGTTGTTGTTGTACATTAGAAACACTGTGAATCTTCTGTTTTTCCACCTTGCACTAAATGGCCGTAACAAATTGTTCTCTTCAGGAGCCTGGCTGATAAGCAGCAGAATTTCATACTAAAATTCTGTGAAGCGCTTTGAGACGACTTGACGATGTAATAAGGTGATGTATCAAATGCAAGAAAGTGAGGCAGGGACTCCAGGTCAGGCTCTCTGATTGGGAGACCCTCACTAGAGCTGTTGGCTTTCTCTGCACTTTCCTTTATCTTGCGAAGCCCCTTTCTCTCTCAAGACCCTTCCTTTACTCTCTTGAAAGTGGGGACGTGGAAATTAGGGCAATGAGCCTTAAGCCTGCAGTTCTTCTTCTCTGTTTCAGGAACGAGCTGGCGAAAATCATGCGAACAAGAGCCAAAGAGATTGAAGTGAAGCTGTTGCTGTTTGCTATTCAGAGGACGACAAATTTCGAAGGGCTGTTAGCGAAGAGGTTCTCAGGAGGCACCCTGACTGATGGCATAGTGGTAAGGAGCTGGCAGAGAGGGTCCAGGGAGTCCTTGATGGCTCAGTAACTTCATCCAGTGAGCAGCTGTGCCAAATTATACAGACCAGGCAATTGGACAAACTAAATGTAACCTCAACATCCTGGCACAGATTTCCCACTCCTGATCAGTATGCATTAACCGCTGTCGCTGTGTGTGGATACGCACAGGCGAGGTTCCAGCTTTCATCCCTGCTCTGTGCTGAGTTAGTTGATCTGATCCAGAGTGGCAGAAAAATCATGTACTAAAATTGGCCTAGGTGCCCCTGGTTATGGAGGGGAAAATCGTCTCCCATTCAAATCTTTCCATGGCCTCTCCACCACCAGCTACTTTACTGCCCCAGACGCTCCATTGAACACCGCCCTGCTTCTTATTCCCTTTCCCAATCTGCCCCATCGATGGGCGAGCTTTCAGCCATTCTGCGCTTGTTCTCTGAAGCTCCATCCCATTCTCTCTCCCAAATCCCCCTCCCTTAAAGCTCACCTAAGACCTTTTTATCGACCGCATGTTTGATCACCTTCCTCAGCTCCCAAGTCCTCCCCCCTCCACATCTCACTGAAATGTTTATCTTTTATCTTTTCTGCCTTTCAAATCAACATAGCCTTTCAAAATGTGGGTAATTTGCATTGTATTCTGTCCTGTCCACGGACTTTCGGAAGGAGCATGTCTTGGCTGACGCTCTCTGAGCGAGACAGTAGAGTAGCCTGTCGACTTTTCCTTTCCTTTCATCCTGGAGGACGCGATGGGAGGTGGAGGGAGAGAGGGGGGAAGCGGTAGCCAGACTGGGAGCTCAGCATGTGGAAGGCTCCTGCTACAAACTGACACCTCATCACTTTGAGGCTCACCACTTTCTGTCTTTCTGTGATAAATGAAACATGCTTTTGGAAAGCGACCAAAAATAGCCTGCGAGAAGTGAGAAAGCACACACACACCCACACACACACAATCCAGGTAGAAACGAGGAGGAATTATTGGCAGTTTTGTGAGGGTGTCTTGGTTCTATGATATGCTTAGAAAAATGTCAGCAAGCATATTCAGATGGAAATGCCAGCAGAGGTGTATTTGATAGATTTTTCCCTCTTTTACTCAAAAGCTGATTTCTGTTTCAGTCGGTTTTTGGAGGTATTGCTTCACCTTTTCTGTCGCTCTGCTGCTCCTTATGGCTTTGAACCTGTTACTGTAGGTTTTTGTAGTTGTAATATTGGTAATTTATTGGTGCTGTGAGTAGAGTACTGTGCCTATTTGATCGCTCCTCCAATTCTAATTCTTTATAGCTGTCCAACTTCACACTTAATCTGGTACGGTAACAACTTGCATTTATATAGCGCTTCTTATGCAGGGTAGCATCCCAGAGCTCTTAAGTAAATAGGATGTTCATTCTCTCTGTTGCCTCGAAAATGTTAAAGCAAAGGGTAAGCAGTGCCAACTGCTTCCTCTCCCCCAATAAGTGAAACACTGGTTAGGCCTCAGCTGAAGACTGTGTTCAGTTCTGGGCTCCACACTTTAGGAAGGATGTCAAGGCATTGGAGAGGGTGCAAAGGAGATTTACCAAGATGCTTCCAGGAATGAGGGACTTCAGTTATCAGGAGAGGCTAGAGAAGCTAGGATTATTCTCCTTGGAGCAGAGAAGGTTAAGAAGAGACTTAATAGAAGTTTTCAAAATTATAAGGGGCCTCGATTGGGGGAACAAGGAGAAACTATTTCCACTGGCGGGAGGGTCGGTAACCCGAGGACACTGATTTAAATTAGTTGTTAAAAGAAACAGAGGGGAGGGAGGAGAAATTTTTTCACACCACGGGTTGTTCGAATCTGAAACACGTTGCCGATTCGATAACAACTTTTAAGAGAGAAGCAGATAATTATTTGGGGAGGACAAGTTCGCAGGGCTATGGGGAGAGCGCGGGAGAGTGGGATTGAATTGGACAGCTCTTTTCAAAGAGCTGGCACAGACACGATGGGCCGAATGGCCTCCTTCTGTGCTGTATAATTCTAGGATTTTACGATTCTATGAAATGTAACAAAGCAGTCGAGGACATTGCCTTGTTGCAGATGTGTTGGAATTGGTGACTAAATGGGACCAGTTCTTCCTTGGGTAAGCTAGGTAAGATAGTTCAACTCAATATGTACCCAGGAACAAACAAGGTAGGAAAAGACCTTTATGGTCCCTCTAGTTGGTCTCATTCTCTGAAATACTATCGCTCACCCTCTCGGGTACTCCTCCACTTCTCTCTCTCCCCACCCCCCAACCCCACCACAACATCCCTACTATCAGCACACACCAAATTTCTAAATCTTGAAGTGACAATTGGGCTTTATTCAGTCCTTTATCATACTTTGTTCAAGTATCTCATTTCCTAGTTTAAAGGTTACAATACCTCCATAATTCCAGTGCTCCTTCAATTGTCTAACTCTACAATTAACCGATAGTAGTAATTCCGTAGTACTCTACTTTATAAGGGGCCAATTTGTAAGACATAGTTTTTGTGAAGGTGTTTAATGAAGTGCAGAAAATTACACACAGTCATGTTCTGGAATTTAGCTGTATAATAGTAATCCTTATACTTAGTATAATGCCTTTCTTTTCTGAGGACGTCTGAGAGTGCTTCATGGGATATAAAATTATCCTTGCATTTGATATGTGAACAGTGAACAGACAATTTTATTTGAGGGATTGTCAGGACACCGGAAGAAACCCCCATCCCTATCGCTGGTTGGTAAGGTTATGATGCCCCCTTTCCTAACCAGATAACTTGTAGGTATCACACCTAGGAATCTCTGACTGAACCTAGAGTCTGTCTGCCACGTCAATGATGAATTTCATCTGCTCTGCCAATGGAACTGACTGGAGACATTGCTTCCTGTTGGAACAGGGTCGAACCTTTTGATGCATCTCATTCCAAAGCCCATTATCGCTTCGTTGTGGTTGGTTTAGACCTTGGGCTATGCACAACATTGCTGCTGTTTGGCTACAAAAGAATTCACCAGCTACCGCACTTATTATCCAAAGCATTTGAGATGCTTTAATGTGATAAGCTGCTATAAAAAATACAAGTTCTTTCATTATGTAGTCGGTGAAATTTCCCCAGATATAATAATAATAATATTAATAATAATCCTTGCATTTGATATAGCGCTTTTCACGTCGAGAGGACGTCCCAAAGCGCTTCACAGAATATACTGTAAAGTGAATTGACTGTATATTTGTGGGCGAACGCGGCAGCCAATTGCGCACAGCAATGTCCCACAAACAGTCGTGGATTGAAAATGACCAATTTATTATTGTTTTTGGTTTTGGAGGGATTATTATTAGGCTCTGTGTGGAGTAAGGAAACTTGCCCAAGGTTTCGCCCTCTGCCTGGAATTGAACTCAGGTCTCTCACTTGCAAAGCGAGTGCTCTAACCACTGAGCTACAGGACTCCACAATATAATCCGTATGTTACACCCCTTTCACCTAGGAATTCTAGACCCTCATAGCAATCTACAGCTCTCCGGGAAGTTTATAGCAATATTGGAACTTCATAAAAGCTACCAATTTCAACGATTTTTTTTTGTGGTGGGGGGGAAAGGCCTTTACTACTTTGAACGCTGGCTACATTGCCAAGAAAAATGTGTATGGATGTCTTCAAAATCTCAAAATGTTAGTGTCTGGTTTCAGTTTATTTATGGATGAGAACCTTCCATTACATTTCAGGCAGTGTTAGTCATATGCTAATGGTCCTTGGCAGACAGACCTCTGAACTCTTTCCGAAGGCTTGTGACTAATTGCTTTCCCTTTGCCCATATGTCTGTCAGCATTGACTGGCCTCCCTCAGGCCCTCAGGCTGGTGTCTGTGAATTTCGCTGAGAGGTAGGGTTCAGCTCGCAGACTGCTTGGGATGCAGTTCAATCTGAGGCTGTTCCCAAGGAGCCGGAGGCTGCTGGTGCCTGGTATTTGTCCTGGTCACCCTGGGGGACACAGTGATGTGGGAAATACCTACCTATATTTTTTGAGCTTGTGCGAGCAGAGTTTTGCAATCAACTCTCTTTATTTTCGGTCATCATCTTCCATGATCTCAGAGCAAGGTGCAGACACGTCCGTTAAAGCTCTTAGCTTCCATTGCAAATATTTGAATCTGTTAATCCAATGTTGGATCTATGATTCATGGGCTGACAAAGCACCAACTTCACTTAAAAAGCCACCGCTACCTTTTTTTTTCTCTCTCTCCTCCCTCATAGCGAACAAAGTGCTGGAATGATTGCTTGCCATTAACAAGGGTTTATGACTTGGCTTATACGGTGTCTGGTAGTTTTCACATGAAAAAGTGCAATGTTATCATATCATTCATTTCATTTCAGTAGCTGTTCTTCTCTAACACTTTGTCTAAATGTGCAAATGTGTTTGGTCAAAGGTTAGCCTACAAAAATGCACAGCCGTTACGTTTTACAAATACACCCCGTGAAGCGCTTTGAGATGTCCTCCCGACATGAAAAATGCTATATGAACAATAAACAACCACAATAAATTACATTTGTATAGCAGCTTCATGTCGGGAGGACATCTCAAGGCGCTGGATCGAAGACGCTTCAAATATTAGGATTAATATTAAAACTGTTTGGATTTTTTTTTCGAGAAGAGCGAAGATTGTGGGGTTGGAGGAGAGGGAAAAGTTTCACGGGAATGAGCTTTGTGTTTGTTGACGGGCCAAGCGGAGACAAAATTACAGGCAGGTTGATTGTTCAGCCTAAACTCCCCCCACCCCACCCCCAACCCCCCAAAAAAAATTACCTACAAACCCAGCGAGAACCACTGCCTTACTGTATCCTGGATGAGAGCTAATTTTCTTCAGTTGAACGTCAACAAGACCGAGGCTCTCCTGATTGGCTCCCGTCAGCGCTTCCACACCTCAGGGGCTGACAGCATCACCATCATGGTTGCCCACTCCACCTCGCTAAGCCAGTCTGGAATCTTGGCGTCTTGTTTGACCCTCAACTATCCTTTCTA